GTTCGTAGTTTGAAACTGAATCCAAATGAACCCAAACCAAAAACCAAAGAAAAAACCAAACCTTGCCCATGTCGTCCAAATCGGGTGTCGAATCACCACCTCATCCGGCACACTCGCACCCGCGGAATAAAGGCTCCGATGTACTGCCAAATGAAAGTCTTTCAACGTGGTCACGTCTCCACCACTCCTTAACGTGAATATCGTATAGCTCAGTCTGGGTGCCATTTGACTGCTCTGAAAATTTTCGCTGCCATTTGGTTTCCACTCTTCCAGCCCACTTCTATCCTCTGCCACATCAATAAATCAATCCATAAATGCCCAAATACACTCCATATCCAATCCAAATCCAATCAAATACCACAAAAAACAAACCAACTCACCATCACATTCTCATAACACGAATCCCTGACCTGTGCCTGCAGACTCAGTCTGCCATCCCAGTGCTCTGTCCACAACGCAACACCGTCCTCAACGAATATCGCCAATTTATTCGAATTCAGCCAGTACCGTTCCATTGATGACTGCGCCACCTGTAACCAACCAATCAATCAATCAATCAAACCACCAAACAAACCAACTCGTAATCAAAATACCCAGACAAAACCACAAGTCAAACGAAGCAGCCAAAGGTCAAAGGTCACACAAGCGTCATGAAGGTCACGACTAAAGGTCAAAGGTCAAACGCCAACTCAAACCTTCAGTGTATCTGCACTCAGGAACTGGCAAAACGGGTTCGTATCTCGTGCCAACGGCCATCGCTGATTGGCCACTTGACCGCCACCATACCAGAAGCCTCCGCAATCCGTCCTGACCACATCTTTCATATAATGATATTGCTGCGTGCTGCTCCACTCGAATCGGTACGCTTCGAATACACAATCCGGCGGCTGTTCCAAACCTTTAACTTACAATTAATTACAATTAATTACTGCTATACTACATTACTTTTATAATATTTTCCAAAAAAATTCATAAAAAATTACAAATTTTCCAAAAAAATGAAAAAATACCCCCCCCCCAACTCTTCAAGCAAACAATCACCACACACTGCACACACTAACATCGAAGTGCTAATCCTAAAATGACAGGTGGGGACACTTTGCCAAATTTCCCTGTAGCGGACATTTCGCCAAACACTCGTATCTCTGCTGTCTCACACCCGGTCAAACGCCTATAAAACCCGTTTTTGATAATTTTCCACCGTTTTTCCCAAATATCCCAATTTCAAAGGTTATTTTCTAACCATTTCAGGTACATTCCCACCTTCCCGGGTACTTTTACCCATG